CAAGCTCTGAGTCTGTCCTTGAACTAGTTGACTCACTCTGAGACGGGATGATCTGCGTTAGTTCAATCGACTGAGTATGTTCACCTTGAGTTGAGCGCGTGCATGACGATTATAAAAAGCCGTCATCAATGGAGCCCCGATACCACGAGTCACCATGACAACAGTAAATAAAAGAGCTATTTCCCTGCGATGGAGTTGGAGGTCCTTCTGCAGGTGAGCGTGAGCACGTATTTCACAGCTGCAGCAGCGGAGGAGAGAGAGACTGCGTGGGGAAGAATCGCTGCCCGAGTCAACGCGTAAGTTTGAATGAACTGTTCCATTGACATGACATTTAACCGTAAGATCATCGCAGCCTGTAGTTATGGATATAAGTAGGAATGAAATCTTTTCATTTAGGTGCAACCCAACAGGGACAAAAGGACCTGGAAGCAGCTAAAAATGAAATTTAAAAACATAGTTAAAAAGGTATGACATATATTGCTATGATTGCACCTCACTTTAATTTTAATTCATTTTTTGTAATTGACTTAGTTGACTATTAAAGTAAATATTAATTCAGTGGCTATTTGAAATAGTAAATTAAACCCCTAATAAAATGTTGTTTTTACACGTCTTTTCACTTAATACCCCACTTAGATATAAAATAAAAATGTGTCTAAGTGTCTCCTATTGAAGTCATTTAAAATGTGACGCTGTAGTTTAGGGCTGGCTCAGGTTAGACGGACCAGCCCTTAGTTAAGCTGCTTCTTTCAGGGAGTTTTTTTTGTGCTTTCTCCCCTATGGGGTCTCCGTAGATTGTAGTTCCTTCTGGATCCTGGTCCTGACACCTGCCGTGGCCCTGCTGACACCTGCATCATCATCATCATTATTATTTTAGATATTAATCATATTACTGTACTCGTAAACCAACATTACCCTCTCCTAAAGTCTCTGTGCTCTCCCTCCCCACAGGCTCCTGTGGATGGTGGTTCTATGTGATGGTGGTTGTATCTGATGGTGGTTCTATGTGATGGTGGTTCTATGTGATGGTGGTTCTATGTGATGGTGGTTGTATCTGATGGTGGTTCTATGTGATGGTGGTTCTATGTGATGGTGGTTTCTATGTGATGGTGGTTCTATCTGATGGTGGTTCTATCTGATGGTGGTTCTACGTGATGGTGGTTCTACGTGATGGTGGTTGCCCCTGCAGTGGTCCTGCTGTGCGCCTGGCTTACTACTCACAGATGGTGGGTTTCGGGACAGAGGATGTTGTATGTGTAGACTGTAAATCCCTCTGAGGCAAATTTGTAATTTGCAATCTTGGGCTATACAAAATAAAATGAAATGAATTGTAGCCTACACCAACACTCATTAAAATACTAATTCAAAAACAAAGAAACATTGAGTTTTGCTCAGCCAACAGAAAGGAGGCAGAGGCCCAAAAAACAGGTGGAGGACCTCCTCCACCACCCCAGGACACAAGTGACTACATCAGATGCAAGTATACACCATTTGCAAAAAGACGTGGCGCGATGCACAAGATTTGCTCCGATGTGAGTGCACGTTCGCGGTGTGCGAGTTTGGTGATAGACGGCCGGAGAATGTTAGTGAGATAAATGATCCCTTGTGAGGAAAAGCTGTAGCGTTCTAACAGAAATTCCTCTGGAAATGATAAAACGTCTAATCTGGGTCGGAAGACTCTCTCGTGACGTAAAGCATTTCGAATCACTAAGGCTTCGATGTCAATTGGATTCGGTAGGAACGGACAATCCATGTCTACCAGCATCTTCATGTGGGAGGAGACGGTAGAAAGGTTTCTTATAGTAAACCTGCCAGCGAGCAGATCATGTTCACAGTCTGTTACCATGGTGATTGACTCAGAGTCTGTTACCATGGTGATTGACTCAGAGTCTGTTACCATGGTGATTGACTCAGTCTGTTACCATGGTGATTGACTCAGTCTGTTACCATGGTGATTGACTCAGAGTCTGTTACCATGGTGATTGACTCAGTCTGTTACCATGGTGATTGACTCAGTGTCTGTTACCATGGTGATTGACTCAGAGTCTGTTACCATGGTGATTGACTCAGTCTGTTACCATGGTGATTGACTCAGAGTTTCAGTTACCTCTATCTGGAACGGATAACTCAGTTTCCCTGATCTCAGGGTTAACTTACTCTGAGTTTTCACATAACCCGCTTTCTGGAACACCCCCCTGATATCAGGAAAAACCCAAACGATACTCATCCATAGTCGATAATCGTAAACGTAAAAATACCTTCTTGGGGCCTAATTGAATGGTGGGGAAATATGCCTTGGAATTCTCATTGTTAGTTTAAATACATTTTCTCACTTTTTCATGTATACACAGAGATTTCACAAAGTTTTTGGTCATGGAAATTTGGTTTGAAGTCATGGAAAAGTCAAAATGTATGAGCCCTGTATAGGTCTGAACCACCTGAAAAGAAAAAAAGGATAAAACTGCATTTTCTGCAATAACGGAAATGTCACCATTTTTAAATAAATGTTGATTGTTAGAATGTTGTTTAGAACTGGTAGTTTAAATTAAATACTATCATCACTGCTAATTAAAGTTTGAATGGAATTCAACGTTTAAACATAAGACGATTTAATTCCTGATCGATTATCATTGCAGGTGGCTTAGACTTTTACTTTCTTAAATTGGCTTTTGAATTGATTTTCATTTTAATTCTACATTCAGATAATTTGGGTTTTTGGTTTCCTTCTCTCTCCAGTGTTTTATCTCCGGTTTCCGGATTTTTATTTTTTAATTAACTCAAGACATAACTAGTTTGATTTTCTTGGACCGGTTCAAGATTGATTGATTGACAGATTTGTCAGACGTTGCTGCATCAGTTGCTGCATCAGTAGTCTGCAGTTCTTACCGCCAAAACGCTGAGTCAAAAGTTATTTTGACGCTATCAGCGTTTTGATTTCTTATTTTGACTCAGCGTTTTGATTGACTGTCTCCCTTTCAGGTCCAGTAGTTTACCGTGCGTTGCTGATTTCAGTTGGCAATCTGATTTAACATTTTTGTAGGATTCATTAATTTATACTTTGCATCATTTGTAGTTTCCTCAGTCAGTGACAGAGTAGAAACTACAAGAAAAGGGGCAGCTCAGGGGTGTTTAGAATACACCAGGTTGCATGATGGTTGCGCTTACGACTCAGGAATTGCTGGGTAGAGCCAGAGAGTGCATGACGGAGGGGAGTAGGGGGACTGATGATGGAGGTAAGAACTGCAGACTACTGATGCAGCAACTTCTGACAAATCTGATATCTGCAGCAGCGGAAGCAAAAAAAAAGACAACTGCAGGTGAGAGATGAACAGACCTCCTAAACTCAGAGATGGGCTGTAAATTGTTGAGTGCTGCTATAGAGTGTAAGTGTAGGGTCTCTAACTCATTTTAGGTTTGTACCATTAAAATCATGGAGGGGGAAGATGGCCAGTGAGCAGTCACGTAACTTAGAGCTCTCGGCGGTGATAAACCCTCAATCATAATTTAAACAAATAGATTCAATATAATATAGAAGGGAACTAATAAAGAGGTCAGATATATGAAGAAAATCAAGTCAGTGATGATAGAAAAGGAATTTCAATGGTGAGAAGAACGGGTCCGGTGCGGAGCCAGCTAGCCTAAACCAACTGGTAGACTTGCTAGCACCCAAATGCAAACAACTGGATGAGGTGAAAAATTAGGTTAAAGAAGCCAAATGGGATAAGCGATGTGAGGAGTGATGTGAAGGAAGAATTTGACAGGATCCGGAGAGAAACTCTCTCGGCAAGGATTAATGCCGACATGAAAACGCAGCATGACCATATGGAGGACACGCAAACACGCATAGCTGAACTGGAAGAATGGCAGACAGAAGCTAAGATGCTAACTATGGCGGCCCAGACCCAAAGGTTGCAGGAGAAAATGACGGACCTCGAGGGGAGGTCGAGGAGGAACAACATTTGCATCTTTAGCATACCGGAGGGCACGCAGGAGAATTCGATAGGCAAGTCAAGTCATTTTATTTTGTATAGCCCATAATCGCAAATTAGAAATTTGCCTCAGAGGGCTTTACAGTCTGTACACATACAACATCCTCTGCCCCGAAACCCACCATCGGCACAGGAAAAACTCCCCAAAAAATGAAAAGTACCTGCAGCTGCTTCCTAACCACCAAACTCGAAGTGCCTAGCGACATCCAGCTCCAGATACAGGGCGCGGGCCTCCGAACGCACCCTCAAGAGCAATGGTAGTGAACTTCCTAAAATTCGAGACCAAGTAAATGGTGCCCAGTCATGCATGGAAGAGGAAAATTCACGTGGGAGAGAAGAGGATTTTTTTCGACCATGACTACGCAACTGAAGTGGTCCAGAAGAGAAAGGCGTACGGGCCATAAAGAAAATACTGAAGGGAGAACAGATCCGCTTCCAGACCCCGCTAGAGTTAAGACCTACGACAGCGCAGAGGACATGGTGAGAGACATGGAGAGGGTACGAGGTGGGAGAAGGCACCGCGACCACAGGGAGGGAGAAGATAGGAGACCGGGCAGAATGGCAACAGACGACTCAAAGACGGGAGGACGTCAGCGGCTGCTGCCAGACAGAAGCTGAGAGGCTTTCAAAGAATGAACTGAGTCTGGCTCGTGGACCCAAATGGATGTTTTATGGATCCCAGTCTGACGGGCTCCAAGGTATGTTAACGGACCTCTACTAAATCCAACACAACTTAAGCCGATTGATAGAGACCAAAATGATGGAGTTGGACATAACTAGTCGGAGGGAAACCCTACGGAATGGGTTTGACTTTGGTCAATAACCCTATATAACTTTGCTTGTATAGGGTTATTGATCTAGGAATAGATGGCTATGACTGGTGTCATACCCATCCAATGTTAATTGATTGAATGCAAGAAGATGCATTCAATTGGGTGCAAGAAGAGGAACAAGGTAAAAACTGAAGAAGGATAGAGCCCAAATTATATATCTGCAGGAGACTCACCTCAACAAAGTAGAACATGACAGGCTAAAGAGATATGAATAACTAATTGGAAATTGAATGTGGGTCTAGTGAATAATTAACAAAGAAAGGACAAAATCAAATTGGGAATATAAAACTGTTACGGAAAACGACAATGAGATGGTGGAGCCAACGATGGTTTGGGACACCTTGAAGGCAGTTATGAGAGGCAGATTAATTTCAGAATCAACCTATGCAAAAAAACATGAAATAACGTATACGAAAATATAGAAAAACAGGATTGGAAAGAGACTACCAGAATTCAGCTGACTTGGACACACAAAAGAAAATTAAACTCGTAAAATTAGAGATAGATAAACATCTAACAGAGGAGGAAGTTATTATGAGATCGGCCCGAGAGCCACTAAACTATTGGCGAGACTGACCCATAGGCAACTCGCGGCTAGTCAAATCCATAAAATTAGGGACCCCCGTACGAACCAATTGATAACAGAGCCAGAGGATATAGAAAGAACATTCCAGAGAGATTATGAGGAGTTATATACACAGCTAGAGTCTAAACAAGACTCCTCTCTTTGTGCAAACACACTGGACCTACCAAAGAAAGGACAGACACAGAACGATGTCCTAACAAGGGATATTTCAGTAGAGGAGGAAGTGGAGGCAATAAATACCTAAACCGGGGAAAGATAGGGAATTATGCAGAAATAATCGTCCAATATCGTTACTAAAAGGTTATATACATCTATTATTGCTACACGACTACACGCCTTTACACGGGATTTGATCGACGAGGACCAAACGGGATTTGTGAGCGGGCGACAGACGCACGATAACATTAGGAGGACACTGCGCCTTATAGACCAGGCAAACAAACTGTCAGGATCTGACTGATCTGGTGTGTTTTCTAGTTTCAGGCTGGGCGAGCAGGTTTCCACGGTTACCTCGGCGGAGTCTGGTGGCTGCCTGCTGTCACACCTGTTGTGCATCTACCATTGTCAGGAACCCTTCTTAAGGAGCAGCAGGAGCACCAGTCTTCAGCAGATCGCTTTGCCCTCCGTGTGGTAACTTGGCAGCGCTCACCAGAGTTTTGATTAACAAAAAAAAGAGTTTTTGTGCACTTACCTCGTCTCCTTGTTCCAGCCTCGTCCGAGCCTTGTTCCTCCCGAGTCTGAATGCTTCCCTTCTCATCTCACCCGCCACAACTCCGGAAAACTCCCTCCAGCCGGTCAAGTCGCTACCTCTCCATCCAGTGTGGTTTCCACCAGATCACATTGCTCCTGCCGCCCGGCCCCTTGTGCTTACCTGTTTTCTCCAGCGTTCCCCCGGCCACGGTTCAGCGCTGCTTATGGAAATCCCACTTCTGCTGAAATAAAATTATTTTTTCATCCACTGAATCCTGCTGTTGAGTCCTACCTTTGTTTGGGCTGTCACCCCGGGACACAAACAGAAAAGAGACTCAATTCTGGTTGGCGTAGATGCCGAAAAGGCGTTTGACAGGGTGAATTGGACTTTCCTATTCACAGTGTTGGAGAAGTTTGGATTCAACAATAAATCAATACAGATTATTCAAACTCTATATCAACGACCTACAGCTAGAATCAAAATAAACGGAAGCCTATCTAACCAGACAGGGATGCCGTTTGTCACCAACCCTGTTCGCATGTTTTATTGAACCACTGGCTGAAGCCATACGCGAAAAAGACAAGTCAGTGGGTGGAGTAGAACATATGGTCGGACAGATGACGTCATTGCATTCCTTGAACGGCCCAGTGAACCGTTGCCTGAATTAATAAGAACGAATGTATCACCCAGACTTTATACATGTTCCAAGCATTATAATAAAGATACCTCAAACACAATTTGTATCATGGGACAGGATGATATCCAGATTCATATGGGGGGCAAGAGAGAGATTCAGAACCCTCCAGCTAAAGAGGGAGAGGGGGGCCTGAGTCTGCCCAACTTGAAAGACCACACGGCCCAGCTGAGACATGGACATTGTAGGTGTAAACTTGGAATGGAAAGAAATGGAAAAATCGTTTAGAATGTGTCCGGTACAGAGTATTACACAGGGAAACATTTAAGAAGGTTAGAAATCAAATGGATTCAATCGCAAAATTGACCTAGAGAATTATGGTTAAAAAATTACTTCGACATAGTAAAGCGGAGAACGACACAAATGTATTGAAATGGGGGGCTTTAGGAAAAAGGAAAGAAAATAGGAAAATAGGAAAAAGGAAAGAGAATTTGACATGAAAATATCTGAAGATGAGTGGGACAAGATGTGGGAAAAACATAAGACAACAACCTGTTGGTGAGTCATGTTGGAGGAACTGTGGGTCACCTGAGGCCAACCATGCACATATATTCTGGAATTGTCACAAAATAACAGGGTTTTGGGCAATGGTCCACAAGATAACGCAAGAGATTCTGGGATACGGATTTCATATGAATCACGAGCTGATGTATCTGTGTATGTACACAGAGATTATCTATGCGTATCTATTCCATCTATTCAAGATACTCATGGTTGCAGGCAAAAAGGCCATCACAAGGACGTGAGGGATGGAAGATCTACCCCCTCGGACCCATTGGGTGGACACAGTGGGGGAAATACATATCATGGAAACACTGACACAAAGGCTACGGCCGACAGGACCACAGATGGACCGTAAATGGAGGAAGTGGACTCGATGGCAGTTTCCGCACTCTCCGCTGTGCATGTGATAAACTGCTTGATCCTCCTCACTGAGAGCAAAACACTCGACTAGATCTCCACTCTTTGCTGTCCTGCTCCTAAATGGTGGAAGGAGGTCTCTGAAGACACCAGGACCACAGAGAGCCTTCACATCTTCAGACTAAAGACACACCTCTTCAGACTCTACCTCCACTAACACACTAACTAACTAGCACTTACTATTGCTCGTGTACCGTTGAGGCAACACATAGTTGGACATCCTGGCGCCACTTTGCATAATCTTTATAATCAAGATCCTTTGGATGGATGAATTTGAAGAGAAGAGAGTGGCGAAGTAAAGGAGCAGCTCATGAGCCCAAACACACCACCTCGTCTGTCAATCATGGTGACTGCCAATGGAACTGTTGGAAGGTCGCGTTGCCCGAAACTGCTCATTTGCGGTGTTTCCAGTGTTTTTTTCGGCGATCGTCACCGAGCTGAAATGATAACTGACAGTCGGGCAAAATGAGAGCGCACTCTCGACCAATCAGAATCCTGGATTTAATCTACCCGTATTGTAAAATGGGGTAACATGTTATTGGGCATGTGACCAGGCCCCAGAGCACAATAAACGCTGCGTAACAATTACGGTACCTGCTGTAATATTCTGTTGGTTTGCTAGATCGGTCCCAGTATTTGGATCTTATATCTATTCAAAGAGCAAAATTCAGTTTCCAAGTTGCGTGACTTTGTCATGATGTTTATAGCCAGTGGGTCCCAAACTGGGGGTCGCGACCCCTGGGGGGGCGTGGTGGCGACATGAGGACTTGCGTCGTGTTCGAGTCTCGCCCTGCAGAGCGGCTCAGGGTACAAGCGCAGCAAAGAGGCAGAGGGTACAAGACAACTGGGTTTTGGTGGCGTATCGTTGAACACTCCCAAACATGTGTAACGATACTTTTCGCGAGGCTGCAGCTCTACACGACACATTAGGACAAAGGGCCATTCTGTTCG